TCAACGGGAGTGGGCCCAATCTCGTTCTCAAATCCGTTCTCGATGGGTAAGCTGTCTATCGGGTGCTTTGCAAGGGACATGTATGAGGGGTGTGAGAAAGGTTCATTCACCATTTGGGCCAAAAAAGAGGAATGATTAAATTTGATCACACGATAGCTTCGTTTCGAGAAGTGGCCTCCCTCGAGTTTGGTTTGACTCGGGTCTGCGATCTTCACGAGTCCTTCAGAGCCCGTTTTCCGGCCGTCCTTCGATGCTGCATCATTGTCGTAGCGGTCTCCAAGGAGACTCGGGGGCTCGAGTCGGGTGATGTTGCGGAATTTCCCATCCCCGATTCTTGAAAGCAGCGAATGCTCTACGATGAGTGACTGGCACGAATTTACGTTCCTCTTCGCGAAAGACGAGGCTTTGCATGCCGAGCGGAGAGCGAAGCGGAGTCGGTCCGTTCCGGAAGACTGGACTTGGGGGATTTCCCCTTCTCGATTCCATCGATTCCGTACGCGATCCCTCGGATGACCTACTTCCAGTCGCGTCGAAGGAAACGAACGGCAGTCGTGGCATCGAAGGGAAGCGGGCTCCGTGAGCGATTCGGAGAGGATCGCTGGCCCGAGTCGATCCGATTCGAAGGAGGTCGCTCCAAGGGATGAAGCAATCGTGCGACGGAAATGAGTCGCGCCTTTTATATAGCCATGGGTCGAAGAAACTTTTGGATCATCCAAAAGGTGTGGGGTCGAGAAGGGTCACCGTCCGTTCTTCGCTCGTGGTTTCCCCTTTCGCGAACGTCCGCTGCGACTTCACGAACTGGAAAAAAAAAAGAAAAATTCCACAACTCTGATTAGCCGCATCGAGGAAAAATATGAGGGAAAGTAGCTGATGATCTTTGGAACGTCCCCTCGTCCCGGACAAGGAACTGTCGTTGACGAATCTTCATGATGATGATGGATGCGAGACGACGGAAATATGTCATGCGAGGAATACTAAGGGAGGGACTGGACGTCATCGAAAGGATGGCCGGGGCTCAAGGCAGCCGACTGCGGTTTTGTCACGAAGGGGCTTTTTACTCCCCTAGAAATCATGGCGGTGGAAGTTGTCTGGTGAAATCTAATGGAGGGAAAAGGGAAAAAGCGATGTGAATTCCCGAGATGTCAAATTCCCAGTTTTCATTTTCTCGTCCGTGTCATTTGCAAAATAGAAATGGACACTAGCATGCAGGAAATCGCTTCTAGTACTCTGAACCTTTAATGGTACAGGTAGGAATGTGAAAACCAAATTTCAAACGTTTTACCTTTCTTCAGCCTCACCTTCTTTACGGAACTCGATAACGTTAAGCCTAGGCCTAATCGACCGACTGTCTTCGGGTCAGGTCAGGGCCAAACTTTTTCACTCAAAAGAAACTCAATCCTCGGCCTATGGACCAATTAGGCCTCTTAAGGATTAATCCCTGGTCTTCGAGACACTTCGAGGACGTGTATTGTTAGGCCAATCGCATGCCTATTTAGTCTCTCAAGGCCCATTTAACAGAGTACGTGTAACGTTAGACCGATTGTAGGTCTCTTTCGTTTCATGAGCTATTTCAGTGCGGTCGGGGAACATTAGGCCTATCCAGGGTTCCTCGAATCGTTTCGAGAAGAAAATGACTTTAGCGCGCATTACGCACTCGCTGGCCGCCATCATGTTAATTTAGGGATGTCCGGATGAGCTATCTCCGTATTCCACCAAATCGATTGGCCACTGCAAAATACCTTTTCAATCTCAGCTCATCTCACGAATTCAGCTCAATAATGTCTCCTACAGTAAAAAGAGAAGATCCAGACAACGATACTAAGGCCGAAGAAGTCATGAATCTGGCATAACTAAGGCGGATTATCCGACAACACTGGAGGACGGGATTCGACCATCGCGCTAAGCCTAAATTAACGACATCTAGGGTAAAAGACCCAGTGATGGGCCACTTAAGGACGTATTTGCTCTTTGAAGCTCTCACTGAGTAGTATTTTTTCTTAATATGAGGATGGTATTAAGTGGATGAGGTAAACTAATTTGTATGTAGTAACACAGGTAAGAATAGTTTCTTCAAACATTCATTGCTTTTTTTGGCAAACGTTTTTTTTACAAAATTGCCCGAAAAGCCTTAGTGATGGACCGGTTTACTCCAGTTATCGACCGGTGATGGTGATGGTTTAGTGATGGTCCAGTGATGGTCCACTCATTATCGGTGGGTTTGGATGGCATGGAAAGTATTAACGTCAGAGTCGTTAAGTGAATACGGTTGTCTTTATTGTCACATTGTATCAATTAATTGCATCAATAGCTCTTTTAGCATTCCTCGTCATCGTTCGGGATGTGTTTACTGTGAGTCGCAGTCCTTCAGTTCTCTAGTTTTCTCCCGGGCTTCTTTGTCGGTCCAACGTTAGTCACAGTCACCATATCTTCTTTAAACCTTTTCTTCGGTTTCCCCGTAGCCCTCTCTGGTTCACCAGCAACACTCTTCTGTCGGTTCTTCTTGGCCTCCTGTTCGTCCTTCCTTTTCTTTTCCTCAATTTCTTTCAGCTCTTTTTTTTTTCCTCTCGGACTCTCTTCCGTCGTTCCTTCTGCATTTCAATTTTTTTCTTTCCGTCATCCTCGTTCCGAAACATCTTCCATTTCTTACTGGACAATGTCCAAGGGAACCGCTCGGTGTTGCGAGAGCTCTTTCTTTTGGGGGTCCCTGGCCGAACGAGAAAGTCATCGATGGAAGGTCCCGGACGTCCGAGTTCTTCAGATTCGATCTGGGACTCATCAGGAACTGCCCCGATTTGTGCACAGAGAGGACCGACCGGTCGACGGGGGACGAGACTTGGAGGAAGATTGTCGACCATTGAATCCGGAGCAGCAGCATCTGCATCCGTGTCGAGGAGTGGTACAGTGGGATTGACACGGTGTAAGGCGACGGTGCAAATTGACCGTAGCTGTCAAGATCTCCTCTTGTTCTTGGGGTCGAACTCCTGTCTCGATCGCAGTGAGGAGCTGTCCTCCCACGATGTCGTTTCGAGTCCTGCAGGAAGATGTGCTGGGGGGTTGGTCTAAAAGCAGTGTCTTCTTCGAGAGCAAGGACGTCGTGGGATTTTTTCACCCCGAAACAGCGTGAATGATCCACGTTTTCTGGGTCCCACGGCGACAATCCACAGACTCAAAAGCCATTCACAATACATTTGATTGTGGTCTTTTCCATGGCCACCTGCAGAACGCCGGCAAAGTCTCTTCTGGTCACAACCTGATTTGGGTGATCCATATGCCACGAACAGAGAGCGGCCTTCCGATCGCCTTTCAGCGATCGGAAAATGGACACATCTGCTGGCTGCAAAATTCTGGTGGCATTGGGGTAGAACGAGACGAGAATGATTCCCAGCTTGGAGCACGACTCGCTCACCTGAATGGTCAAATGGGTCGCGTGCCCATCGACGAACAGAACGATCGGAAACTTCACTTTCAGTGCTAGATAAGAATGCAGTACGGCTGAGATGTATTCATAAAAAATGTCTGATTTCATCCACCCGTTGTCGGAATGGGCCACACCCCATCCGTCCGGTACGGATTCGGCAGCGTCAAGAGGCATCCGAATGTACGGAAATATAATGAGGGGCGGGGCAATTTTTCCTGCAGCGGAAAAGTTGCACAGAACTGTCAGATGTTCTTTTTTTCTGTCCCATGGCCACAACGTCCACGTTCCTGGTTCCACGAGGAGCCAAGACTGTGCCACTCTTGGGGCAGAGTTCAAACGCTGTCTCATCCGCGTTCCAGATCCGTTCCGGCTTCGACGATGCAGCAGCACCATTCTCGTTCCAGATTTCCTGGTGAACGTTCTCGAAACAGCTCCGAATGTCCTCCTCCGAAATGCATGCCGAGGCCTTCGTGATTCCTTCTGGGGTGCGGAGGGTCAACTCCGGGTGCCGTTTCAAGAATCCCTTGCGCCACGCTCTACCTGGGCGATTATTCACAAATGGATTTGACCGCTGTGCAGCATCGAGATAGCATTTTGCGCTATCTTGTACGTCGTCCCAATTCCTCGGGAACCCTTTCTTTTGGGATGCAACGATCCAATCGACCGGCCTCCTCTCCTCTTCGTGTGTTAAAACTAGAGGTGGCCCCATGGAAGCTTTGGCTTTGGCTTTGGCTTTGGCTTTTGGTTTGCCTTCCAGACGAGCAGACGGTGTCGTTTTGGGAACTGCAAGCTGCTTTCACGCCCCACGTCCAGTGAGATCGTCGTTCCTCGAGGCTAGGATAGCATTTTCCGTAGCCTCCTCATCGTAGGGAACCTTTGGAGTGTTAGGCATTCTGAAACGAAAATAATCAGTCATGGAGGCATGATATCCTTCCGAAATTATAAATCGGCCCATCATTCAATTAATACAAATCGATTCACGGCATCAGTTATGGCCCAGGTGGTCCATCACTGGGTAAGCTTGCGCATGTCGATTCAGCCATGGACCACCCTTATTCGTAGCTTTCTTGATGATTAACATGAAATTTGAGATCCCAGCACCAGACCACGTCAACAGATGAGACGAAAACACTTCAATGACGTTCGCAGCCCTACGTACACTTAGAAACACAGTTTATGCAAAAGCACTCGTCTTAACACGAAGCTGAAGAAAACGTGGACTTTCTGAGGGGGATCCAACATATATTTTGTTGACACCCGTCGGCTCGAGGCGGAGCCCGGGGCTATGTATGGATTCCCAGAACCCTCCTACAAGTAAATATGTCGTGATATAGGTGTGCATGCTATGCATGCTTAGTTCTTTTAATTTTTCTGCACCCTGACCCATCACTGGGTATTTCACCCTACTTTCATTTTTCTCGGTGAAATGGTGCACTGGAAGCAAAAAGGGACACTTTTTGTGACCTACGAGTCAATATCTTTTGTTTGGTTGGTCTCTTCTCCAAAAACTTCCTCGGGCCCAGGGGGGAGAAAAAAAAATAGGGAACGAAATTCACATCTCCCAAAAGCGAGATTCAGTGATCTCCGTAATCCCAGGAAGATGGAGCTTCAAATTTGCTGAAGAGATTTTGTGTTGAGGAAGGAAAAAGTATGCCAAATTTCGTTCCAGTTGATGATCTCAGAGAGGAATACGAGAGGGTTGAATTTTGTCGCCGGAAGGGGTTGAAGAAAGGTGATTGGCGCGGTAGCGCCCATTATCTTTCTGGGAAATTTGTGACTTTTTTGTTGTTGAAAGTAGTGGTCTTTTTTCTCACTGGGATCAAATCACAGTTATTCTCATCGTAGGGTGGGTAATACAAATTCCAACCCTGCTATATAAAGTCCGCCCGCACGCTACATTTTTCAACCTGATGAGAAGTGCAAAAAAGGCGTTTTTTTCAACCATATTACACCAATATTTGGTCTCCAAACGTGAATAGGCAGTGTGTGTGCATTTTCCTCTCGATTGGCATATATTCCCCCAAAAATAATTTCAAACCGTGGGTTTAAGGGGGCGGATTTTGAGCTTTAGGGGGTCGGAATTTGTATGATACGTATTGCACATCCCAGCATTTGAAGATGATATGCGCGCCTGGATTCATTGCTGCCTCCTGCCTCCTGGGCGGCAGTAAAAGTGGAAGAATCGGAATGAATTTTCAGACTGTACGGGAGCGAAGCAGGCCTCAACTACGGGACGTGGATGGCCTTCAACTTCCCAGGGATGTTGCTCAACGTCCTCATCGCCTGGATCTGGCTTCAGATCATCTTCTTCTTCGGCCAGTGAGTCGCACCGACCAAACCACGTCGGTATCGAATGGGTATCGAACGCATGTCGAATGGATATCGAATCGGTAAGGAATCTCTATCGAGTCGGCAAGAAATCAGTTTTAAAATGGGTTCCTTCGTTTTAGATGGAGGGAGAGGCGGAAGCACCCGGAGAGAATCGTGCCGAGTCGAAGCGAAGCGGCGAAGGCGGAGGCGGCGGCTCGCGGAATCATCGCCAAGGAATACCAGGAATTGGGGTCCATGTCCTTCCACGAGGTCACGACGCTCGTCCTCTTCGTCGCCCTCGTCGCCCTCTGGCTCTCGAGGGAACCGCAGATCGTTCCCGGATGGGCCGACTGGGTCAAAGGGGACGGGTACGCTTTTACTTACCGTATCTCTTCCGTGCTCCGAGTCTCCGTTTGGGATTCCTTTCGGAACTGACACGCTCGCGATGACTGTGCCCCTTCCCAGGTACGTGGACGTCGGAGACGCAACTGCTGCGATGTTTATCGTCTTTCTCTTCTTCGTGATCCCCGCGAAACCAAACTTCTGGTGCTTCCGGGAATCTCCAGGTACGAAGGACCGTTTCCCCCCTCCACTCCCTCTCTCCACCCCCCTCGACTCCAACGACTCGCGTAAAAGTGAGGGATCCTTTCAGACTCGCCTTCCAAGACCGGTGGGGCCCTCCTGAACTGGAAGGTCCTCCACGATAGGATCCCCTGGGGGGTGATCCTGCTCCTCGGTGGCGGCTTCGCCGTGGCGGAGGCCGCGGAGGAATCGTGTCTCTCGTATTGGCTGGGGCAGCAGTTGAGGAGCCTGGGGTCTCTGCGTCCGGCGTTGCTCGTCTACATCGTCACTATCTTCACGACGGCTCTGACGGAGGTCACTTCCAACACTGCGACTGCGACTATACTCATGCCCGTTCTGGCTCAGCTCGTATGAGATTCTTTTCATCAGATGGAATGCCTCGGTTACGTAGTTTTTTTTCTCAGTCCGATAGGTTTCGAATGCACCAAATCTTGGTACTTTCGTCGTATCTGAGTCGAGTCGAAGAAGTTCAGTTTCAAGTAGAAGACACTGAACTATCCGTGCCAAGGTGTCCAGCCGAAGAGTCGCTCTCAAAAACAGTTCTCGATGAAAAAATAATTTTGGTTCTTACAACCATGAACCAACTTTGTATTAACATTACGAAATATGCACAGGTCGAAACAGGGCACACCGCACTTTCATTCCCTTCGTTTCTCTCAGGCAAGCGCGGTGAAGGTGCATCCTCTGTACCTGATGCTGCCCTCGGCCGTGGCCTGCTCCTACGCCTTCATGCTCCCCGTGGCCACCCCGCCCAACGCCATCGTCTTCGAGGCGGGCCGCATGAAGACCCGCAACATGGTGGGTTCTCCGTCACCTCGCTCGCGTCGCTTTCCGTCTCGTTTTCTCACGGAGGTTTCCCGGATTGCAGATCCAGACGGGGTTTGCGATGAACGTGATCTGCGTGTCGGTGATTAACTTGATGATCAACACGCTGGGAGATCACCTCTTCGACTTCTCCAGATATCCCGACTGGGCGGAATCCGGAAGCAGTTCCGTTTCCTCCTCCGCCTCGCACTGCAATTACACTCTCTCTTAGTAAAGAGACTTTTTCGTCTGTGACCGGTTTTCATTCATTTTCTGTCTTGTCGTGGCTATTTCCTCAATATAATTTTTTTTCACTGTTTCAAATCATGGCATAAAATCGATGGGAGGTGGCCTGTTTAAGAAGGAGACCTTCATCTCTTAATTTTTCTTGCCCCTCCACGAGAAGAAAAATTCGAGAACGATGAAGTGACGAAGGCTACGGTTGGGGGGCAGGATATATCAGACTTATACTTTGCCGCAACAATTGAAATCGGTTTTCTTCGAAGCCGATATCACACATTCCTCTAAGACCACGAAAGCAAGAGACTCCTGACGTGGGAGTCCAAGAACGACCGATCTTGAACCGATGCGGATCGCAATCGAAAAATTGAGCTCTTGAAATATGATAGAAATCATACAGAAAAGAGGGTACTTGTGGGTCATCGGGTTTTCGACAATAAGGCAGCCGAGAAGAACCGATTCAAAAGCAAGGAAATCTAACTTCTTTTCCACCGTTATCAGAGATGTCGAACTTTTTTATCCTTCACGAACCAGAATGTACCAGAATCTCTTATTTTCGTATCTGTCTGCCTAACGCGCGGGGCTTGCCGAAATGCGACCCAGCGGATCCATACATCCACCGCGTCTCATTCGACTGGATATAGTGATGAGTGGGATTGAGAGGAACGATGAGCACTTCAGGAGAAAGGAAAGGGTCGGTGGAGTGGAGCGTCATCCGACCCGAATGGATTTTCCAAGAATGGCATGGATTCGGGGTGATCTCCATGGTAACTATATCCGCATACATTTCCAGTGATAGGATTTATGACTTCCTCCACATACGTTGCTCCGTGTGGGACGAAACCGTCCACGATGGCTGCAGCTCCGGTTCCCGACGGGCGAAAGCGAGAGGCAGACGACATGGAAAACGAAGCAACCGGGAAAACGAACGGACGCAAGAAGCCCAAGGAGGAGGAGTGCGACTACGACGGCGACGACACCCGCTTCTGCGTCATCTGCTTCGTGCAGTACACCGATGCCCGGAAGCGGACCCATTCCAAGGCGACCCTCCCTTGCGGTCACCATTTCGGATGGAGGTGCATCCGGGCCTGGGTGGGACGCAAGCCCCAACCCGCCTTGTGCCCCATCTGCACCGCACCGGTCCGCGTGAGGGCCATCAAAATCCTCAAGTGAACTGGCATCGGCGAAGGAAATGGATTCGGTCGAGAAATCCCCAGGAGTTCTGCCTCTTCGCCAGACGCACACGTTCGTGACCTCCAGCGAATAAAGAAAATGCACAATACGGTACCAGAAATCTGATGGAAGCGGACTCCCGTATGCGAAGAAATACCGAGTGCTCACGCACGGAGTGCTCCAGGTGAATAAAATAACGATGAAGGCCCACCAGGGGTGGCGCAAGACGAATGGGAGACAGGGATGGAAAGGGGATGGGGGTGGGAAATACCTTGCCTCCCACTCCTCAGGATGTGGGGAAGAGGGCTGCTTTTCCTTCCAGTTACGAGTTTTTCCAGTTAGCCGAACGATTGGGACTCGAGGATGGAGTTCTTCCATATGCACTTTCCAAATCCCTTGCTCGTTCGGAGCCGTTCGTCCTCCCACTTGCCAACACGTTTCTACGCCTACGACGATCTGCGACACCGACATCGGAAGGAAGCGAAAGGGACCCTTCGTGTGTGTCCTCGGGCGAGACTCGATGTCGCCCCTTCGGAAAACCTTCGTGATTCGTGCACGACCCACCGACTCGGAAAACTCTCGCAGTCGCCTCCGCGGTGGACGACGCAGGGTTCCTAAATTCCAAGCGACCGAGAAGGCAGTTCCCGTGTTTTTCCACTCGAAAGCCTCGGGTGAGATGGTGTTAATCTATTCATGGATCGTATTCGGAACCTTACCGTACTAGCTTCCAAGCGAAACGTTGCAACGTAATTTAGTGCTCGTCGTCTATTAGGAGTTACGATAGCTTTACATCTCCCATTTGCTGAACAAGTGAAGACTGCCCCGAACGTGATTAGTGTGTGCTCGCTAACCTATGAGAGCTGCACGTGTCTATGCCTAATTAGGTTTTCTCCATGCCATATGAAAAAGTCCACATTTCCACCGATGAAAATTTACCGATTCCACTGTGCAAGTCGTACCGTCTTTGGAATTTTATTTCATCACGTGCAACACGGCAACAACCGATGTCGTCAGGTAAAGAAGAAGATAGAAGGCAAGGGAGGAGAGACGTCCGAAAGTTCCAGGTCGGAAACGAACAAATCGCAAGTGAAGTTAAATTCTTTGGACGCTTGATGTCATGGAACATTGCTGTCTTTTCGTCTCCGAAAAATATCGAAGATAAGCTAAGGCTATCGCAGAAACGAAGGGACGGGGCGATGAAAATGCTCCAAGATGGTGTGACACAACTAGAGTTGCACCCTCTTCGACCTTCTAGGAACAAGTTGGGAGAACACTTGATCTCGAGAAATGTAGCGATTCTCAAAGTCTCACGTTCAGCCAGTTTTGATGAAGTGCTAATTCACTTCGTTTTGGTCCGCACGAGCCCATCCGAGACCCCATGGGACTATCTGTTTCCTTGCAAATTTTCAGAGCATTTTTAAAAATCCTTTTGTTGCTTCGTCAGCCTTGGCACATCACTGACGTTTTTCAGAGACAATATGACATGCACAACGGAAGCAGCTTATTCTTTACCTATGGAATTTGTGACATTACGTATGACATGGAGAAAATTTCGAACGACTCCTACTACGCGGACGAGCCCTTCATCTCTGTGTAAAAGGTTTCTTTTGGACGCCAGAATAGCATGAGACTGCGCAAATATTCCGTTTGTCCTCCGCGCCCTCTGGGGAGTGGAACATCTTCGAGCCAGTTCTCAGAGACTCCGATCGTTATTCTCTCTGTTGTGGCTGCAAGCATTCGTTTCCAGCGTCATCGTTTATGATCACGCCTAATTGCTGCACGAATCGATTTCGGAGCCAGTTCGACGACGTTTGTGATCGCATATCTATTAGAGTTTCACAAATTTTGAATGCCGGAATTAGAGGCCAAAGGGGGTAGGGGCCATTCCAAGATACCGATTCTTAACCGGTTTGGCACCAGTTTGGTTCGGTTCGGTTGGACTCGTCGTCAGATGTGGAAGAGTTTATGGATACTCTGAAGCCAGGAGGAGATCGAGCAACATCCCGGGACGTTTGAAAACCATCCACGTCTCGTGATTGAGGCCTCCTTCGCTCCCGTCCATCCTGGAAATGCATTCCCATTTTATTACTTCTGTTTTTACTGATGGTCGGGGGGGGGGGGGGGGGGGGTAGCAAC